GTGTGTGTGTGTGTGTGTGTGTGTGTGTGTGTGTGTGTGTGTGTGTGTGCGTGCGCGCGCATGCGTGTGCGTGCGTACGTGCTTGCGAATCAGAATATATGCGTATGTCTATCCGTTGGTGCCACTGTGTATATAGGTTATCAAACGAGGAAAAGGGAGTTTAATAGTTCTTCCGCAGTTCTATTCCTTCTTTCGTGGGTTGGTTCATTTGTTTTTTCATTCGTTCTATCCCCTTTTCTTTATTTATTCGTTCATTTATTTATTTATTCGTACATTTATTTATTCAATCATTAAAGGAATAATAGGTCCATTGATTATGCAATGTTGACGAATGCGAGAGTAACTGGCACCTTGTGTAGTTAATAAGTACATTACCCTATAGCCAAACGCGTATTAGTTTGTCCAATATCACTGCTGGTTACATTACAAGAAAGACTTGAAATCAGTTGTTGATATTTATTTACGTGCCGTAAATGTCTTCCAGGAGTCAAGAAATAAGTCGCCGATGACGTAAACATTTGTGCGGCCCGTATGTTTTGGACGCCAGATGAAATGGAGGTGTCAGCTGTGTAACCACGGCCACGGACTAAACATGGAAATGGAGTAAAACACACGTACTAATCACGGACGCACTGGACAGCTCTGACAAAAAGCTCCTTATCACGAGCGTCCGTGTTTACGAAATCACTGATGATAGCATTGCGTACGGCCGAGCATGCGTGCGAAAATATCCGGTGCACTATAAATCTGTATCACACGATTTGAAAGTGAAACTGTAAACTGTAAACATTTCTTGGATTGCGTATTCAATTAGACATTTCTTAGTAACCAGCAGTGATATTGGACAAACTAATACGCGTCTAGCTATAAGGTAATGTACTTATTAACTACACAAGGTGCCAGTTACTCTAGCATTTGTCAACATTGCATAATCATTTGACATATTATTCCTTCAATTCATTAAATTGTTCGTTTCTTAATTTATTTATTTATTTATTCATTCATTCATTCATTCATTCATTCATTCATTCATTCAATCATTCATTTATTCATTCATTCATTTATTCATTCATTTATTCATTCATTATCTATCTCTCTCTCTCTATCTCTCTCTCTCTTTCTATCTCTCTCTCACACACACACTTTCTCTTTCTATCTCTCTTTCTATCTATCTATCTATCTCTTTCTCTTTCTATCTATCTCTCACACACACAATCTCGCTGTCTATCTATCTATCTCTCACTTTCTGTCTTGAGCGTTTTCTATCTCTTAATTGTTCTCCTGTAACCGCAGCTTGGAGACAAACGTGTCCACAGGCACTTGGAGCGTTTCAATAAAATAGAATGCTAAATAAATACGAAATCTATTTACTACCAAAGTCTAAAATTAATGTTTCTCTACTCTCTTTCGCCTATTATTGCCGACAATTTCCTGTAAATGCCGTGCTACAAATGCTCCTCTGCAACACACGCTACCGCACACTGACATATACATATTGAAACGCTCCAAGTGCATGTGCACGTGTCCACATCCCAGTGCATCAACCCTAGAGACTAACCACCTTCATCCAGACCTGTCATACATAGGGGGCTTGCTATATATATAATAATACACGTTTGCTTTTTCGCTTGCAGGACAACTCGAACATTCCAACAACGAGTCCGTGGAACTTGCTGCTGATACAGGATGCGGATAGCTATCGTCACAGGCGTCGTCGCCCTCCTGCTGCTGGTGAGTGAGTCAACAACAGCCGCAGATCATATAAATTGTAAACGTGTACATATATATATATATATATATATATCATACGGCATCATAACAACGCACCGCATCGTAACATATCGCCTGCATCTCAGTACAAACATCTGCATCCCAGCACACAGAACGCGACATCAGCGCACGTATACGATCACAATGCGTCACCCTTGCGACCTTCACGTCACCGCACAATGTCCCCAACACGTCACATACATTACGTGTCAATGCGTCACCCCCTGCGACCCTTCACATCACCGCACAATGTCACCAACACGTCACATACATTACGTGTCAATGCGTCACCCCCTGCGACCCTTCACGTCACCACACAATGTCACCAACACGTCACATACATTGCGTGCGTTGCGGCATGCAGCTTCGAGACTGCCGACGACATTTAATCATGAATTTCACCATATCTATGACGTCATCGTCTTTTGTTCACGTCGTCATCGCGGGTTTTCATGACGTGTAATACGAACACTGATGCGATCCGGAACAATGATGAGACTAGATCCGGAACAATGATAAGACGAAATCACACGTAGCAAGGTATTTAGCGTTCACACGAGGCAAAATGTGCGGTCCAAGAAATACGGTATCTAAACAGATCCGGTATTTGTTGAAATACGCGGCTTCCCAGACCCCGAATAATTTGCCGTGCTTGAGAAATACCGGATCTCTTGGACCGCGCATTTCCTCGTGTGAACGCTAAATACCGTATTTCTGAAGCCGCGTATTTTATAGACTGGTCCGCGCTCGACAGTTCCAGTGTAACGCGAGTGGAACTATCGAGCGCGGACCAGTCTATACGTATTTTATCAGCAGTTGGTGCGCATTGCATTGTTTTGTTTGCATTGTTTGCTTGATTGTTACTAAAGCAGCTCGCAGCTCGCAAATACGGCATTTCTGGAACCGCGAATCAGCGTGTAAACGCTCGGTCGCGTATTTGTCTCAGATTCGGTATTTCGCAAATACCGTATTTCATAAATACGAGCTATCTTGTCAACGAGGCTACTGATACTAGATCTGGAACAATGACGAGACGAGATCCGGAACAATGATCAGACTAGATAGGGAACAACACTGAGACGATGTCCGGAACAATGATGAGACGAAATCCGGAACAACAATGAGACTAGATACGGAACAATGATGATACTAGATCCGGAACAATAAGACGAGATCCGGAACAATGACACGAGAAGATCCGGAACCATGATAGATGAATGCCGAGATATTTAACGAAAGAACGTCTAAAGACGCCATGAACGCGTCGAAATATATAACAACGCTCTTTTTGCACGATAACAGAATCAAAAATTTAGAAGAATCCTAAGTGAACGTGATTTTGGCAGCGCAGTTATGTGAGTGTGTAGATAATGGTAGCGAGATAATGTGCGTAATGAGAGCAAATATACTCGGAGAGCAGATGTCATGCGGTGTGGAAGGCAATGACCGAGGCAGGGTCACTGCTGCTTCCGCTGTTGCTGCTGGTGGTGCTGGTGGTGGTGCTGCTGCTGCTGCTGTTGATGATGATGATGCTGCTGCTACTGCTGCTGCTATTACTGCTGCTACTGCTGCTACTGCTGCTGCTGCTGCTGCTGGTGGTGGTGGTAGTGGTGGTACTACTACTACTGCTGCTACTGCTGCTACTGCTGGTGCTGTTGCTGCTGCTGCTACTGCTGCTAAAGCTGCTACTGCTGCTGTTGCTGTTGCTGCTGCTACTGCTGCTACTGCTGGGCTATAAGCTGCACTACTGCTGCTGTTGCCTGCTGCACTGATGTGCGTCTGCTTGCTGTTGCTGCTGCTGCTGCTACTGCTGGCTGCTGCTGCCGTTGCTGCCAACTAGCGGGCGTGACTGTGTAGCTGTTGGTGGCGTTACTGACCCGATAGCTCATTTAATCACCGCCTGCTTTTAATCATATATGATTAACTATTTTAAACCGCTATAAATATTTGCCGCTGTGATTTAGGGCCAGAAAACCCTACGTGTGCGCGCGTCAGAAACCGTGTGAAACCTACAAGTCACGAGATAGCCCGGTGGCCGCGTGTTCCGGTTTAGCCGCGTCCGCGATCGAAGCTTATAAACTGAAAAATGATCAGCCGCTATAAATAGAAGCGCGTCGCCATCCCGTCACGTCACTAGTTTTGCTGTGCGTGTTACGTGTGATCGTCACGACACGTTGATGCGCGGATAATGATGAACTGATGATGACGTCGACAAATACGGGTGGTTGTGGTGCGGCGCGCCACGCGGTATAGTGGTGTACACAGTAGAAGGCGTCCATAGCAGCCAGGCCTGAATAAGCATGCGAACAGAAATTAATTAAAAGGGGACAGTAGCCTCTAGGAATTTTACTGTATAGCAACTGTACTTACTGTATAACAATCGTCTATACCCACACGTATTTGTTTACCAGATACCAAATTTAAGTTGTTATAAATTAATTACACATCAAACGCTACGAAATTTGAACGCGCCATGATCACCCGCGCTGTGCTGCCACACACCCCGAAAAAGTTGCGTATTTGAAAAAATTTCATTTGCACGTTAGTCTGGAAGTGTAGCCAAAAATCCGCGCAATTCTCTACCAAAACTTTCGGCCGAACTTCCGTAAGTTAGGTTAAAAGTAGTTTTAGTAATGTTTTTCATTTAAAACAACATGGGTTGAGTGAATTAACCCAAATATCTATGGCCGTCTTCTTGACTGATTTGCTTTGACTGAAGAAAACCTTCAAGACAAGAGACAAACGGGCCGTTTGTAAATGTTTGTTTTGTTTAATGCTGCTAGATAAGTATAAAGTTTTCTGATGATATTTTCCATGAAAGACACATATTTTTACTCATATTATATACTATAATAATACTTACTATAATTGCACTTCTTTGTGCAAATGCGATTTATTTTCATCTTAATCTTAAGTTATGAGAGGGTCAGCTTATAGTTATACTGGCCGAGTTTCTGTACGTTTATGTCGTTGCCGTGGTCCGTTAGTTTACGTTTCAGCTGACCTCAGGGTAAACACAGGTTACTACTGACGACTACTACCTAATACAGCGTCATGCAAGCGAGTACGAGTACGTATAGCTCTCGTACTGTCGTAGCCTAGTACTATAATACCGGTCGTACTCTAGTACTAGTATATGTCGTTAGCCCTTCGCGCCTTCCTCGCTGCGCAGCGAATGCACTACGAGATGCGTGTAATACGTACGTATGTAATTATTAACGAGAGGCCCAGACCTCTCATAACTTGAGATTGTAGAATGAATAACAACGCATTTGCCAGAAAGAATTGCAGATTCAATGTGATATTATATGTATACTAATGAGGATAAAGGATACGTTTTTCATGGAAGAATCCATCAGAAAACGTACCTTATCTAGCGGTCATAAACACAAATACAACATTTTAACAAATGGGCGTTTGTTCTCTTGTCCAAGGCAAAGCAAATCGAAGGCCACCAATCAGAAGGCGCTAAATTCTTCGCTATGTTTACCGTATGGGGAAA